AATCCCAACTTTAATATGTTATCGATTTGTTTTATATTGTGAGAGTGTAATTTGATACATAGGTGTGATGGGTTTTACTATACACATAAATTAAATTACTATATTAAATTTTCTAATGATTTTGGCTGGTTTTTCATTGAATAAATATAAAAGTTGATTTTTTCATATAAAATTTATTATAAAATTTTATCATGTTACGATGAGTGTAAATGTTCAATTTCTAAGATTAAGTCACTAAGAGTGGATCGGGTTGCAATTAAATAGAGTCTACTCTAATAGATGATTCAGCCAGAAAAATATGGCCGGACTAAGATAGTTAATGAGCCAAGTTGACCATACTGACCCAAATTTAATACAAAGCCAATATTTAGATTAATTGAAATACGACATTTATGGTTGATTGAGAATATTATGAGATGATATTTGAAAATCAAGTCTAATTGCCAATTATATTAAGAGATCACGTGCATCAGGTATAATCACATAAATAACATTTGATGGGCTTTAGATCTACAATGGATCAAAATTACTATATAAGAGACAATCATAAGGGAAAAGATATGCACAATTTAGAAGAGCAATCAACTCCAACTTTAATGGTCTTTACTGGTAGAGTTGCCATTGTTACATTTGACGCCCGTCGTGGAGCTTAGTAAAACTAACATTGGCCATACAAATTGATCCCAACAACAGTCCGATTTCGTTTCACAATGGTTAAGGTTGGCACAATAGGAACAATAATAATCATGTTGCCATAGCAGAGATGTTAGTTGATGTGGAAGAAGTGTGTCGCCATAACAAAACACTGCAGGAAAGTGTCTTATGACTTACAATAGCAACATGTAGAGCCAAAGTTTGGCCGTAATATTTTTTCAATGTAAAACTCTAAAATTGATTATTTAAAGAGAGTGTTATTAGCATTTCTCTTTTAGTTAATGAGTTCTTGAAAAAGATCTCTTAGATAATGGAACTTGAATACATTCATTTGTGAATTCTAGTTGCTAGTAATAAGGTTAAGTTTATAATAACAAACTATTGTTTTCAAGAACTAATTTCTTATAAATCATACCAACATTAATAGTTCCTTTTAAATATCTAAAGATTAATTTAACAATACTTATGTGAGAATTTTTAGAATATGGTTGAAAACGAACACCCACATATACACATACATTAAATTAAATATCAAGCCTAAAGGTTGTAAGATAAAGAAGATGACATATTATACCTATGTATATTTTTTTATATACTTTTAAGATTATCTTATATTTCCCAAAATCGCAAGTAGAATGCTTAGGTTTTAAGATTGTCTTATATTCATCAAGATCAAATTTCTTCAAGAGTTTCTTCATATACTTAGATTAATTTATATTAAACTCTATCCGAACATTGGTTGATTTATGTGCCAAGTAAACATTTAAATTCTCTCATCATTCATATTTCAAACTTCTTTTGTGTTATCTTAGAAAATTATTGACAAAGCACGACATTAGTAGAACAAAAATAATATCATTCACATAAATTTGAACAATCAAATTTTTATTCTTGGACATTTTTCTGAAGAATGTTGTGTTAACATGGTATTTTTAAAAATCATTCTCAAGAAGGAAATTATTTAAACAATCATACTAAGCTTTGGAAGTATGTTTAATATCATAAATTGATTTCTTTAGTCTGAAAACATATTCTGGTTTCTTATAGTCCTAATATTATGAAGTTTGTCCAACATACACTTCTTCCGTAATAACACCATTTAAGAAAGTACTTTTGACATTCTTTTGAAACAAAATGATATCATGATTGACATCATAACATACTAATAGTCAAAAAGCTTATAATATAGCTACACAGGCAAATGTTTCAATATAACCTTTTTTTCTTGATGATTATAGTCTTGAGTTACTAGTCTATCTTTGGTTCTTACCACTTCTATTTTTTCATTGATCTTGTTTCTAAACACCCACTTGGTTCTAGTTATGTTATTTTCTTTTGAAGTAGGAACAAGATCAAATATATCATTTCTTTGGAATTGATTCAGTTCTTCTTGCATGTCAACTATTTTACCATCATCGCTTAGAGCCTCATATATAAAAGAGAGTTTAATAAGAGATAACAATCCCATGAAAGTGAAATCATTTCTAAAAGATGATCTAGTTTTTACTCAACCTTCCTTACTTCAAAAGATATGAAGAATTATATTTTCGTTGATGACTAGGGCCTGAGCTAGTACGATACTCTGGGTCTCCAAAGGCTTCTTGTTCATAATCTTTTGCTTTACCAGCCTTGGTCACACGTGACTTCTTCTCTAGCAACATTAATGACAAATACCTTTTTTCTAGACGATGTTGATGTTGCCTTTTCTACTATCTAGCTATTTGCAAGTTGTTAAATACCTTCTATGCATCCTAGCAAATCTTATTGTAATTAAATATTACTTAAAATGGTTATTTGACAACCAAGGTTTCACTATTATACACCATGTAAGCTCTAGACCCTTAAGAGTGTCCTAGTTTTTGAATGAAACTCATTAAGGTGTTATTTGGCGTTTAGGCTATAGCAAATACAACCAAATTGATAAAATATGAAATGTTGGGTTTTCCACCTTTCCATAATTCATAAGGAGTCTTATTTAATATAGGTATATATAAATCCTATTTTGAATATAACACAATGTATTTACAACTTATGCTCATAAGCGTTTTTGCAATATTTTTATTATTGGTCATGGTTTTAACCATCTCCTGAAGAGGTTTATTTTCCTTTCTAGAACTATTTTTTTGCATTGAATTCTCACAAGAAAAGTTACTAGAAATTTCATTTTCTTAACATAATTTTTCAAAAGCTTTGTTTTCAAATTCTCTACCACTGTCACTTCTAATGATTTCTATCTTCAAGTATTTTTTTTTCAACTTGCACTTGTTTACATAGTACTAATAAAATCGAATGAGACTCGTCCTCATGTCTTAGAAATTTTACTCATGTACATTTACTATAGTCATCCAAAATGAAACATCCATACTTCTTACTATTGATCGGTGCTATTTTTACTAACCCAAACAAATCAATGTGTAAGAGCTCTAGTGGTCCGGGAAAGGAAACAATCTTTTTACACTTTAATTAAATTAGTAAAACCTCTCACAAGCTCAAGCTTAGTAAGCTTTGAGATTAATCTTAATCTAACATGTCCCAATTGTTAATATAACAACCATTGCACTTTATTCACTAACATAAGGCATTTCATGTTTTTTTTCAAGGTCAAATCAATTTGATTTTATAAATGTTGTTTTTTCTTGTTCCATCAAAGAGGACAAATTCATCTTTTTTTACTAATAGCATCATAATACTTTTTATTTAAGACAACATCATGATCATTACCATTTAATTAACTTATGCTAAGGTATTTTTATTGAAGAAAACATCATAACCAATTTACAATGTGTGATATGCTTAAGGCTTTTGGATGATGTGTTCAACAATCACTGCATCAATCCTCTGTTAGTAAGTGTCAATGCCATCCAGACACAACGTGTTTAATTTCTCATCTAGTCTCTCTTAAAGCATCATTAATGTGAGGTCCATTATACTTCTTATCACATAAGCTCAAAAAATGCTCACAAATAAACCCAACACATCATTGGAAAATAAAACTTAAAATTGGAGAACTTTAATTTACTTAAGTAATGATAAAATGTTATACATGTATTAAAGTAATATATCCTCATAAATGTTTTTTCATTCTCTGTGCAGATGTTTTTCAGGGCTCATCAAGAAGGAGGTGAAGGAAGGCAGGATGCACGGATTAAGAGTAGCAAGAAAGTCCCTATCAATTTCTCATTTGTTTTTTGCAGATGACAATTTCCTTTTTGTCCGTGAAAACATAAATGAGGCTTCAAGGGTGATGGAGGTCCTTCATAAGTACCAACTTTCTTCTGGCCAAGTAGTGAGTACCGACTTTCTTCTGGCCAAGTAGTGAATCTGGATAAGTCAGCGGCATCTTTTAGTCGAAATGTGGATGAAGAATCTAACAACATGATCCGAACAAGGATGAGAGTTAAGACAGTAGTTTGCCATGACAAATATCTGGGTTTACCTGTGGTTTTAGGAAGATCAAAGAAGGAGATCTTTGCTCTAGTTGTGGAGAGGTTTGGAAAAAGATTAAAGGTTGGAAGGAGAAGTTTCTCTCGCGTGCAAGAAAAAAAGTCTTGATAAAAGTTGTAGCGCATACTATTCCAAGCTATGTTATAAGTTGTTATAAGTTACTAGATGGAATTTGCAATGAATTTGAAGGGATAATAACAACATTTTGGTGGGGATCGAGGAATGGAGAAAGGATGATTCATTGGTTACAGTGGGATAGGATGGCTATAACTAATAAGGAGGGAGGAATGGGATTTCGAGGTATTAGAGAATTCAATACTAGCTTTCTTGGGAAGCAGTACTAGAGGCTACTTAGGAACAAACACTCCTTTGTTGGTAGGGTTATCAAAGGCAAGTATTTCCCAAAATGTGGCATTGATGATTGCTCTGCAAGGAACAATTCAAGTCATGCTTGGAGGAGTATAGTGAGTGCCAGACAATTGGTCCATCAGAGTTCTAGATGGAGGATATGAAATGGTTTAAGGGTGTCAGTGGTTAGTGATAGGTGGATCCCTGGGAATCCCAGTTTTAGGCTTCTATAACATAGCTCTACTATATATCCTAAATGGAAAGTTGGTGACTTAACTGATTCAGATACTGGTCGTTGGAAAGAAGACCTGATCTTCTCCACTTTTGGGTAGACTGATGCTTTGCAGATTGTTGGCATTACCCTATCTCAAAGAATCGTTGACGATGAGCTTATCTATCATTATAAACAAAAAGGTAATTACTCAGTGAGATCTGCTTATCAGTTGTGCTTGAAAGACCACATAAGTTCAAATTCTAGACCCTCTTTTAACCCAAACCAGAAGTTATGGAAAATGATTTGGCAAATCCCTCTTCAAAACAAAATCAAGAATTTTATGTGGAGACTTGCTAGAAACATTCTTCCCACTCGAGACAACCTTAGTAAAAAAGGTATTACTCTTGATCGATCCTGTCCATTCTACAATTCAAAGGTTGAAATAATGCACCATGTTTTTCTTGATTGTATCTTTGCTAAGCAGACCTTTTTCTCATCCATGCTTAGCCTTAGAACTCTATCAAATATTGATATATGTAGTTGGCTTAAGAAGTATTTGGCTTCTAAGGATTCCTTAGTTTGTCAACTCATTAGTGCTACCCTTTACAAAATATGGTTGGCAAGAAATTCGGTTGTTTTTTGTGCTAAGACATCCTCCCCTTTGCAAGTGGCTACAAAGGCTCTTGACATGGTGCAAGAGTTCAACTTCTGGAATGAAAACAAGAAGAGCAAGTCCTCTCCCAATACTAAAGAGTTTGGATCCATTGGAAATGTTGTCATCATCCAGGTTGACGCAGGTGTTTTTAAAGATGGCTTGTCAGCTTTTGGTTGTTTAGTCAAGAACCACGAAAATAAAGTCCTACTCTCAGCGAGCAAATCTGAAAGAAGACTATTTGAACCTACTGTTGCTGAATGTCTTGCTATTAGATGGCACATATAATTAGCTTTGCACATGAATTTTGAGAGTTTCTTGATTCAATCGGATTCCTTGATTGTTGTTGATTGTATTAATTTGTGTAAGGAGTATGCTAGTATTGAACCTATTGCAGAGGCCTGTAGAATTATCCTTAGAAGTTGTTATGGTAGCTCTATTACGTATATTGGTAGAACAAAAAATCTTCTTGCTCATGATCTTGTGAGAGTGAGGAATGTTTTGGGTTCTAGGACTTGGTTAGGTTATTTCCCTTTGATTGATCACATGGTTCCTTTGTACCTTTTTCTTCTATTTAATGCAAGTATATTCTTCATCAAAAAAAATCCTCATAGATGCCTCATCTCATGGTAGCATTCCTCTACTAAGTAGTAGTACAACACGATTAAATTGGTAACACCACATGCTTCGTTATGGAATCTTAAGTTAGTGAACATTCTAATATACTTCACATCTATCAAATGATGTTACTTGTCCCCAAGTTTGGTGCACCCTACCAGATGTAAAATTAATGTCTAGTTCTACAAACTCAAACTCACATCCCTTACTAGGTGCAAGTAGACTTCTTGTAGCTAAGAAATTTTAAAATGAACTACTCTATTCTTGACAACCTTAGCATAAAATGCCTATATAGATACTCCCATATAATCATGGGAAATAATGATAATAAGTGTGACCAATTCTACAAAGAGGTATACAACTTCTCATACAACTTAATAGGGCTGGACAATCATTCGGTATCAGTCGGTTTTGGGTCTAAAACTTAAATCTTACGTAAATCAATGTTTTATTTTTATGGCCTAATTTCGACCAATAAAGTTTTAATTTTTGTCGAATTTGGTTAAATCGATTTGGCAGATAAGTCGGATCAATTTAATTAGTTTAATATTTATTAGAGTAAACCTATAAAAATGACTATTTTTTTTATAAAATTCATAAATATTTACATTTTATTTACAAAAAAAATATCAAAATTATAAGTCATAAACTAAATAATACTCAAAATTTTATATTACATGTCTTTTTAATTTTGAAAATACATTGTGTCATTATTAAATTATAAAAATGATAATATTCTGACAACAATATGAATTTCATTTTTATAATGAGTCAGTTATATAATAATAAAAATAAATAAAATATATATTAATTAAATTCGGTCGGTGTTGGTTTTTATCAGATTCAAAATAATCATCTTAGCCTAACCGAAACAAACTTAAGTATTCAAATTAAGCAATCAAATGAACCTGACACCCGACCCTACTCGATTAATTTATGTAAGAAAGACAACGATCGGATGTTTGAAATTTATCCACCCCTACAACAGTACAGGTAGAATATCATACATAGCAACATCTAGTGTCATCGTGATCTCTTTAAAATGGTAGGTGTAAAGAACTATCTTTTTTGTGCCACCTTTTTTCACAAACATAAAATCAAGGTAATGTCATACATCATGAAAAAAAATCCAATTAGAGGAATAAAACATGTATCATGAATTATCCTTACAACAACTGCATGCATCTCAACCATGGAGAACCACATACACCTTCACTTATAACTTGCATGCATGCTACGGTACTTCTCATGCATGTTGTTTTGAGCCTCATGGAACTGCTCTTGATATTGTTTGGGATGATAGTATCATGCCTCATGATTATGGTAAGACTCCTTAAACGCATCATTTTGTGCCTCGGGAAGTTGCTCGTGATGGTAAGGCACTTCATTATGTATCTCACGAGGTTGTTGCTAAAAAAACCATTAACTATTCACTTGCTTTAGCACATCCATCTATATGACCTCAAGTCTATTGATAAATTCAATCCTTATACAATGACATACAGTGTGTGCAGTCTATCAACCATGATATCAATTTCACTAGCCCCTTCAAGAGCAAGTGTGTCATCTTTGTTAAAACATTTCAAATAATTTAGTGTTGTAGTCAGTTAACACGAGTGTGTATTCGGTTGCAGCAAGCTCGGCAGCTCATTTTAGTAGTAAAAGAGCAAATTTTTCATTGATGTAACCGGTTAACCTGTGGCGTTAATCAGTTACCACTGAGTTGAATTTAATTTCATTGTCATGTATAACTTACGAGCCCAACTTTTGTACTTATCTGTTATTTTAGTTGGTTGTTTTGGTTCCTAGTCATAGTACAACCTTTATAAATGTATAGGATGCATTCTCATCCTAGGTCAATGCAATATCACCTCTCACCCTCAACTCTCTCTCTCTCTCTCTCTCTCTCTATCTATCTATCTCTCTTTCTGCATTTCAATTCTCCACCATTGTTTATAAATCTTATGGTCCATAGTCCAACATTTGGCATCAAGAACCTGGTTCTGATCCATAAACACTTAGTGTACAACATGAATTCTGTCTCTAAAAAAGAATCCATGCAAACCTACCCATCTTTGATGCGAAGAATTACAACAAATGGTGTTAGTAAATGAAGGTGTTATTTGGCTACCAAGATGTTTTTGAAGTGATCAAGAACGAGGTTTCTCCTCTTATCCAAGATGCAACAGATATACAACAAGAAACACATAAGGAAGAGAAAAAGAAAGACTTCAAGGCAAGGTTCTTGATCCTTCAACATATTGATGGTGACAACTTTGAGAAAGTTGGTAATTGCAAATCATCAAAGAAAGTGTGGGAGATCTCAAAGAAGGCCTATGAAGGAGCTGTCAAGGAAAATATGGTGAGGTTACAAACTCACAAACTTTAGCTCAAATTGATTCAAATGGAAGAAAAAGAGACAATCAATGATTTCACAACGAGAATCACTCGGTTGGTGATCAAGTAAAGGCATGCGAAGAAAATGTTAAGGAGAAGTATGTTGTTGCAAAAATATTGTGTTCTTTAACATCAAGATTTTACAATGTAGTTATGGAGATTGAGGAATCAAAGAATCTTGCGACGATAAGAAAAGAGAAGTTGAAAAATTCTCTCAAGGCTCATGAGCAAAGGATGGATGAGAGAAATAATGATAAGGCAAAGGTGAAGATTGCTTTGCAAGCTCGCTTCAATGAAAAGGATATGAGATCGAAAGGAAAAATAGTCCATGAAGAGTAAAGGGAATTTTCCAAATTTTGGTGGAAGAGAGTCTCAAAGTTTTAAGAATTCAACTTGCCAAAAAGGTAAGAGCAGCTGCAACAAAAATGATGGTCAAGGCAACCTTAAAGGTGAAAAGAAAAGGTTTGACAAGAGCAAGGAGCAATGCTTTAAGTGTCAAAGGCTCGTCATTTTGCAAGAGTGCAATGCGAACAAGAAGAAATCTCAAGGGGATGAAGTCAAGGTTACAAGGCAAGAGTTTGATGGAGAGAATACATTCTTGGTCATGATCACAAAAAGAGAATGCAGCAACAACAAGCTGTGAGACAACAATAAAAACAATTCAAGGAATTCTGCAAAATTGAGTTGTGACCAATTGACTGATATGGTTAACCGTTAACATGAAGAGGAAGACACTATGATGAGTATGAAAGGAGTTCAATGTATCGAGAGTGATATTTAAACTCGGGTTGTTCAACTCATATGACAGGGAGGAATGATTGGTTTGTTAAAATTAATCATGCCATGAAGAACAAAGTAAAGTTTGCGGATGACACCACTCTAGTGGCCGATGGGATCAGTGATGTTTTGATCATGAAGAGTGATGATGGAAATTCCTCGATCAAATATCTCCTGTACATTCCAGGAATCAAATGTAACCTTCTAAGTATTGTCCAATTACTTGAGAAGGGTTACAAGATTCACATGGAAAACAAGAGATTGCACGTTATGGATTCAAAGGGAGTTTTGGTCCTTAAAATGCCTGCGGATGCCAATATAGCCTTCGAGGTTGAGATGAAGGTTTTGGAGCATAAATATCTTGATACTGCAACAAGTCATGAAGATTGGATGTTGCATTATCGTCTTGGACATCTCAACTTTAGGGATCTCAAAGACTTGTAAAAGAACAGAATGGTAATGTGGATGCCATCGATCAACATACCACCTAAAGTTTGTGAAGAATGTGTGCAAGAGAAGAAATATAAGGGTAAATTCAGAAAGAATGTAGACCCTACAACCAAGAATCACCTTGAGGTGTTGTATTTGGATATGTGTGGGCCGATGCAAGTAGATTACATTGCTGGCAATAAGTACTTTGTCACATTTATCAATGATCATAATAGAAATCTATAGACATACCTAATCAAAATAAAGGATGATGTATTTGAAGTGTTCAAGAAGTTCAAGCCTATGGTTGAGAGGAAAAGCGGTCACATGCTCATAGTGCTCAAAACGGATGGTGGAGGCGAATATGTCTCAAATGACTTTGGGAGGTTTTTGGATCAAGAAGAGATTATACATGAGGTAGTAGCACCCTACACACCATAACAAAATGGTGTTACCAAAAGAAAGAATCGATCTATCATGAACATTGTGAGAAGCATGTAAAAGGGGAAGAACTCTCCGAAAGAGTTATGGGGAAAAGCGGTATCCACAACTTCCTATTGTTGAATATGTGTTCTACAAAGAAGCTTGAGAATGTAACACCGAAAGAAGCATGGTCCGGATTCAAATCAAATATGAATCATTTAAGAGTCTTTGGCTCCGTTGTATACTGACAAGAGGACCATGATCAGTAGGGACGCCGTGGTCGATGAATTGAAGCAAGTGCAGCAAGGTGCAACTAGTTACCAAATGACGTTAGTTGGTTACATTCAGAAGTTAACCAGTTATCAGAAATTTGTAACTGGTTACAACTTAGAAATTTCAAGTTCTACATAAATGGGAAGTGTAGAATAGCCCTTCGTTGAAGCCTGAAATGAGGAAAATGTTAAGAGGTCAATAGGGCAAAGGGTTTTGCCTTAAAGACTCCAAGATTGTGAGCTGCTCCGAGACAACAAATTCAATTATGATGGAGATTTCTTCCATTTTACACTTATGGTCGAATCCAAACCCGTTAATATGGAATAGGATTTAAGTGATCCAAAGTGGATTTGTACGATGAAGAAGAGTTG